GCGTACATTTTTGCCGAATTTTACCATCTTATGTGAGGATTACGGTAGGTTTACGGTACTATGGGAAAATTTTTAGAATGCATCAGAATTTGCTCAAACTTGGCCTATAGGGCTTATTTGACATGCTGAGCACAAAAATGAGATCCGTTTCGCATGAAAAGACCTCGTTTGTGAGATCAAAAAGTGAATTTCATTTTAGCGACAAATGAATATGATATTCGTGTTTACCGCATAGGATTACCCTATAGTGCAAAGTTATAGCGAATTCTGACTTTTCGCAGCTTAGGGCCGCATGCACTAACATCCCCGAGGGGAGGGGATCGCAGCTTAAAAGAAAGCTTTATATTTCGAAACTCCAAGTACCTGGATTTCACGTTGTGTACCTATCCGTAAGTATTCCTACTACCCTTCACTATGAACATGTTGAACAGGAGCGAAAAGCTGTACGAACCGCATTTTCCAGCTTTTGTGTGATCCCTGATGATCCCCGGCGCTTTTCTTTAAAGTCAATTTTCTTTCTCCAAAGTCAACAAAAGACCTTCAATGTTGTGCATATTATTTAACCCGACAGTGCTAAGCATGTTGCTGATAAGAACAAATGATGTTTTGAAGTCATGAAATTTTCGATGATCCACAGGTCGAAATTTGAGGTTTATCGAAAAATTCGACTTTTCAAAAACTCATTTGTTCTCATCAGCAACATGCTTAGCACTGTTGTGTTAGATGTTCAGTACAACTTTAAAAGGTTTTCGTTAACTTCGGAAAAAGAAAAATGACTTTAAAGAAAAGCGTCGGGGATCATCAGGGATCATACAAAAGCTCGAAAATGCGGTTCGTACAGCTTCTCGCTCCTGTTCAACATGTTCATAGTGAAGGGTAGTAGGAATACTTACGGATAGGTACACAACGTGAAATCCAGGTATTTGGAGTTTCGAAATATAAAGCTTTCTTTTAAGCTGCGATCCCCTCCCCTCGGGGAGGTTAGTGCATGCGGCCCTTAGTCATTGACAAATTGCCTTCAAAACTTGACGCATTTGACTTGTCCAACTTCTCAAAGGCGCTCCACCTTAATTTGTGTTCAAATTTCATTTCTTTTTCATTGGTTCCAATGTGCCAACTTCCAGCTACATGCTGCCTATAATTGCCTTTTCATATGTTTGAATCAGGTTTCGTAGGCCTTTATGTTTGCCAAAAAATCGTGAAACCTCGATTTTCAGCAGTTTCAAAAAATGCTTAGATTTTTTGTACTACGTTATCAAAAATCAAACGGTTTGCGCAGACTTGCAGCTTACATCACGATCTACATGATGCCACAAAATGAGATTGCTACATAAAATAGGAAGAAAGTTACGGGAAAAGTTGCAAAACTTATGTGCCAACCTAATAAAAGATGCAGCTTCTTCAGTAGGCTACGTGCATTGAATAAGCATATCTTCATATTTGCGGAAGGGCCATGCTCATTTACCCGTTTCCCGAAGTATTTCGGGAAAGACTAAAGATTTGTACAACTTCGTCGCGGTATATCACCCACTAGATTACATACCTTTGTTACGCTCACGAGCCTTCGTAGCTCATCGTCTCTCTTTTGTTCCTCGGGGGTCATACTTTTCCTGACGAAGATGTCCGGAAAACCTGAGGGCCGCAGAAGTCGAGCATTGGCCAAGGCTGTGCGCCAATGAGCTTTAGACGGCAGAATACCTTGACCAATCGAGGCCGTGCAGGATTTGAAACCGTTCTACCCATCCGGTGCAATTCTACAGGACGACACTCCACCCTGAGAGTCTCTAAAATAATCTCAAGTTTCTTCTCCAGGTCAAGCTGTCCACCCTGATAGCCCGTGCTGCCCTCCGCCTCGGCCACTTCACTTATAACTATGCTTCTAGACCGCTTCTCCGCAAAAAGATCTACCCCGCCCATTTGGGGAAGCTTTTCAGACCAAAAGGTCAACATCTCATCGATCAATGGATCAGAGTTTCTTTCTCTGATACAGTCGATAAGACCCTCTACTGTTATGTCAGAGAAGTCCGCTGTAAGGGTCTGACTATTAGCATCTACCAAGCCATTGCAGGGGCGGAATAGATTGGCTACTGTTATCCTTTTTAGTTACAAACGAAACTTTGGTCGGCATACTGGCAAAAGGTTTGACTAAATCAATGGCAAATCAAAAATCGATAAATGCAGGGGCACGAAATATTAGAAGAGCACGAGCAGAAATACAAGATGTAGACTACCCAACAAGATAGGCCAGCAAAGAGAAAAGGATAAGCGCACGAAGAAGAAGAAAGCCAAAAGAACCAAGAAATGAGACTGAAATAGACGTATGAGACGATGGATGATAAAAATGCAACCACCGACACAGCCACGAGCAAAGGCAGAAAATGAGTAGTCACCTCGAAGGGGGTTGATGGAGGGAGAACTGAGAGAGAAACTGATACGAAAAAGATAGCAGCAAGCACCGAAAGATGATAAATCAAAAAAGTAGAGTTGGAAGAAAAACGGAAAAATCGAAGTAAATACATGCCAGTTTTTTATTCCCACTGTGTTAGTAATCAGCGTGCTCACTTACCTTCCTGTGCCAACTCCCAGCTCCATACTATATCATAGAGCTTATCGAGGACAACAATCAGGTAGCGGTCACTTTCAAAACGAAGCTTGAATTTTGTTTTGCTTGTATAGAGAATAACTTCTATGTTTCTCTTTCAAAGCAAATTTCTTCACAAGAAAACCTAATCAAGGCATCCCAACAAAGCTGTTCGGATAAAATGGATGCTCTTTGCCATCCTCTATGCATCGGACGTGTGCTGGAGAGTTTCTTGGCTGAAACTACTCCTGACAGTGCGTGCACATGACCCTACCTGCACCTCACCACTGACTTGCACCGCTTTGCAGGTTTGCAGCTCAGCGTCAGGCAATCTACGAGCCTGCAACTAGGCTTATTCGAAAGAGCGTAACTTCCTCGACACGATGGTATGGAAATAAGTCAGTATGAGCAATCCCGAAGATTTTACGGACGGGGGGGGGGGAGGAAAAAGCACAGCTTCAGTTGTAGGCTAAGGATTTTTCAGCTAAAGTTGAAGAAAGCTCCTTTTCTTACCAGTTCCATTCTAGGAGTTCGGAACTGTCAATTTTTTTTGTAATAAATCCATTTCGAAGCATTGAGACCGTTTTGGTGTTGATAAGAGCCTTCACTCCAATAACCTCTAAGGCTGCGTTTTTTTACCCCATCCGTAAAATCTCCGGGCTTGCTCATAATGAACTATTTGCATACCTTCGTGTCTTTAAAGTTACGCTCTTTCGAATGAACCTACATGCAGGCTCGTAGATTGCCTGAAGGCTGAATTACAAGCCTGCAAAGCGGTGCAAGTCAGTGATGAGGTGCAGGTAGGGTCATGCGCACGCACTGTCAGAAGTCTGTTTCAGCCAAGAAACTCACCAGCACACGTCCGATGCATAGAGGATGACAAAGAGCATCTATTCTGTCCGAACAGCTTTGTTTGGGATTCCTTGAATAGGTTTCCATATGAAGAAATTTGCTTTGAAAGAAAAAAATAGATGTAATAAAAAAAGCAAAACAAAATTCAAGCTCGCGTTTTTTGGAAGTAACACTACCTGATTGTTGTTTTCGATGAGCTCTATGATATAGTTTGCTCATCTCGGCGTATAAGATCTTCATCTACAGGATTTATGAATTTATCTAAAAGTTCGTAAATATTTGGAAATCACTACCCACGAGCTTCGCAGGCACTTTTTTAAAATAACTCCAGGCAGATCCCCAAACGAACTATATAATTCCTAAAGCGGAAGGAAAGATGGTTCTGAAAACAATTTCCTTGCTGACGCTGTTGTTCATCTACAGAACAGTTACAGGTTTTTTCTTTTAAGAATTTGTAAATGCTTAACAATTGTCTACCTCTTTCCCGAGACAGATGTTCTTGCATACACATCTTCTACTCTATGGTATTTTCAAAAACAGACAGGATGTTTCCAATCCTACTTCAATCTTCACAAAAAAAAGAAGCAAATGATGGTAAAGGTATGGTATCGACCGTAATTTTACAATTTCTTGATCAAGTGGAACACTCTTCACCGTGGAGGGGTTGCGACCACCGTGACCCTTTTCACCGTGGAGGAGTTATTCTCACCTTATCGCATGATTCTAGAGTAAAAAGCGATCTCCTTCTCTGATTTCTGCTGGTCTAACGGTCTTATCATACTTTTCTTCCATTTTTTTGCTCATAAAATCGCACATGTTCCGCTGCCTTAGAACAAGTCAGGTGTAATGCAAAAACCAACTGCACTTTATGTCAGAAGTTTCGTCAAAATAAGACATCTTTACACAAGTCTGAGGCATCATCTATCTATCGCAAAAACTGGTCCCTACCAAACATTGAAATAAGGGACTCACCGTTGCCCCAACGATGGTATTGTAGCAGAATGTGATGCGGCACGAATAGTCCCGGTCCCTCTGTTTCTGTTGATGAATTTAGACAGCTTGACCTGAAATGTACCAAATATTCTTTCTGTTGCATCATTTCCCATGGAATGATATGGAGTAGCTAATCTTTGTTGTATACTGAGGAGACTACAAAATTATTGATGTAAATGGGGTGAAATTTGAAACTTGGTCAGAAACTTGGTCAGGGTACCGTATTTAAGAGCACATTTTATGCAAAATGCAGGGGCAGTAATGACTGCTTTTGCATCAAGTAAAGGTGTAGAAATCACGTACCTGGTGAATCAACAAAGGATATCAAGGATGTACTTGTTACCTCTTTCCGTAGCTTTGAAAAAACCATATAAATCGAATCCAACTTTGGCAGAAACGGCTTTGCTGTAACCTAAAATAAATTGTTCTTTATATGTGTTTAAGGTCTGCGCATTTGACATGCTAGACAGTTTTCGCACCACTTGTATGCTGCTATCGCTTGTAAGCCAAAAATATTTACGCAAAAATTTGGCAAGAGTGCAAACTGTTCTTCAATGCTTAGCTGTGATTCTGTATGATGTCTTTCAGCGGGACTCCAATTCAACGACGTCCTTCGGTTCGGTAGCAATGGTTTCTTTTCCTGTGTATGTTTATTATACGTAAAGTTTAGAGAGTGCGATCCAACTCCTGATTTTAGTAAACAATCTTTGCAGACAATATGTGGTGAATGTTCTTATGAAGACAAGGTTTTTTTAGTAAATCATTGAGCTTCGATTCCAGATCATTCAAAATTATTTGCAGCAAACATTTACAAACTGGGCCAAATGCCAAGCTGGCGGAGTTTCCACAGCGATGTCCGTAACTTCAGATACGCGGGACTTCTGTTCTATAGCAGTATGCAATGATATGGCGGTAATGGACGACAAAAAGGGAGATGGTATCATGCAAGTACTCAGATTAGAAGGAAGTCTCTCAAAAAAGAGGGCGCTAGGGAGGAGCCACAATTTTAGTGTTTTACATTCACGAAAAGGACAAATGGGGATTACTTGCGCCTGTTCTCTCAAATTTAATGAGAAAAAATTTTTCACAGTGTACTTGGAACATTGATAGAATTTTACGATGGAAGTGAAGAGCAGACGATTTCGACTAATTGCACATTTCATCTAACGGAACGAGCAAAACTACGCCTATCAGCTGAAATTAATGACACCATAGAGTTTCAAACGCTGTCAGCGTATCCTGGACGAGGTGCATGTTGTATATCTAACAAAAACATCATTGTAAAAAAAACTCGTTTTTAGTGCTAGCCAATGATTACAGTCTCATCATCCCGTGGAAATTGAATTTTATCAAAGGTGGGAAAATCAAAATCGACAACATTTTACGCTAAGTTAAGAGAATTTGTTCAGAGATTCTCGATACTTTAAATGAGTACACAAGGAGCATTGTGAAAAAACTTGGCAAGGTGATATCAATAACGGGCAGCGTACGACGAAGATTACGATGGAAATTATACAGAGGAGATACCTAGTTCGTAAGTTCAGCTTTCTGGGGTTTTGCGCGGGTGGAGGGACGAACACCTCAACTAGGAACCGCCTCCGCGGATACTGGTCCCAGCGCGATGCACAACAGTAAGACGAATGGACCAGTAGCCCGCGGAAGCGGTACCTAATTTGTTCGTTCCTCTGCCCGTTTTGCACTTCTAAATCAGCATACCATTCAACATATTTTTGCTTTGTAGATCATATATGTTCCGTACTAAACAATGCCGACAATACCCATAATACTTTTGTGTCTTTGAATGGATGATTACAAACTGAGCAACACGCACTGATGCAAAAAATGGATGTAATTCAATTTAGACAGTATCCTACTCATCTATATCGTATACACATTGCATGTAATGGAAAATGGTCTACAAATGGGTCTTACTGTCAAGATCCAGAACAAACAAAGGTTTTATCTATAGTCTTTCCCCATATGAATGGTGATCCTAATTGTTTGGTAAGAGTTAGAATAGCTGCCTTTTCAGAAGCTAATCGCCATGCTTTAAGGAAAAGAATAAACTGCTCTTGCAGTACACAGCACGGCTAAAGGACGTCGAAAGTATAAGCGGAAAATTTTTCAACTTTACGAACCTTGCTGCTAGGCAGCAGATGTTGCTCAAGCTGCACGTGAATACTGAGTTATAGTAACTCATGTATCTCCTCGAAGGAACTCATTGTTGTAGAAGCAAAGCCCTTCAAAATTTTGTTTCGCATTGTGTGTCATGATTTCTCTGAAGCAAATAAAAGTTCGCTCCTGTGCTTTTTTTTCGTAGTCTTGAACAACTATGTTTTTCCAAAATTTTCCCCAGCTTTTGTATTTATCCAAAGGTTTTAATCGAGTAATGCTAGATTTTTTCTTAACCTTTGGAAAGGTACACGGTCTCCGTCAAGCAGGCATAGTAGTAGGTAGTTTTGCTTGATACTTGATACTTGATATTTGAATCATGAAAACAAATCTAAAACTACTCGCTAGAGAATCTTCAATGATTCGAACGGTGTAGAAAATTTCGGAAAAACCTGCACACCAAGCAAGTTAGGAAGACTAAACAAAATCTGTCAATTACTTATCGTGAGGCTTTAGTTTGAAGAAATAGACGTGCTAAAGACAGTTTCTACCAACAGAAAAGAGTCTTTTGTTTTTAGCTTCTTTGTTTGTTAGGTTTGTGGACATAATGATATCAATAGCCCAGTAAGTTTTTAGCATTTTTTTTAATTTTCAAGAATAGTGTTTGCATAGCTTCTGAAATGATTCTGTGGAAATGAGAAGTTGACAATTTAAGTGTCATGGGTTTGGTACTGATATCATGCATCACTAATAAACCTGAATTATGGGATGTCTATGTAAATTGGGTAAACAATAAATTACGGGAATATTACAACCTTCTTTGATTTAATGTGAATAACATTGCTAAAACGAAAAATCTGTCGATCAATTACCGTGAGGCTTCAATTTTGAAATGAACCCGCTAAGGGCAGCTTCCAAACAGATTAGTGCTTATCACACCACCATGTAGACCTGCGCCCTTCACGTTGTCCCAAAAATGCAACCCCCCAGTTAAAGGGCATATATTTTTGTATTCCTGTTGCATATAAAAAAGTAAGGTTGAACACCGGTCCACGTATGCCACAGAGTTTCAGAATAAGGTTTCGGAAGGTTTTTACGTATTCAGCATTTCATATCCCAAAATCAGAATGGAAAGGCTCAAGAACGACACGGCCCAAAATCTGGGTGGATACTGCTTATAAGCATGAGTATACAGTGCTGGCCAAAACTATAATTCCACCCTGAAAACTGCCGTAGCTCATCTGCTTCTCAACGAATTGATCTGAAATTTGGTACAGCTGTGTGTTTAACAGGCTATCACCAGTATTTAGAACGAATCCAGTTTTTGTTTGATTATTCATGAAAAAATCAAAAACTTCGAAAAAAGCAGGCTCGAAGGTTGGCCAAAACTATAATTCCACCTAAGGTTTCTGTCCACTAAAGTAATTCTCGGCTTCCAAAGTTTTTGTGCATATACATACTCAAAAGTCAAAACAGTCGCTTTAGTCCAGCTGTGCCATAATCTTATAAGAAACGTTCGTCTGTTTTTTTTTCACTCAAAAATGATTTCATACGTATTTTGTTCCCGAAAATGTGTTTTTATGGGTGATTCCGCAGTTTTTTTGGCTGTTTTGGCAGCTATAGATCTCTATCTCTTTTATAGATGGTTAGCGAATTGAGAGCTAATTTGAGCTTTCGTCTTGAAACGCACCCGACATAGACCCAACAGCAAGTCTGCGCTCAAATTTTTGGCTTAAAAATTGGTTTATGTTATTTTTGTGAGCTCAAATTGATGTAAAGCATTGTTTACATAAAAAAATTTTGTATACCATACTTACGATTGTTCGCCAAGTCACATTTTCCTTCTTTCTCAAAGCATAAATTTTTGCGGTTAATGGTAATATTAGGTCGTTCCGAAAGTAATGTCGCTTTTTTCAAACGTATGCCACATCTCGTGGAACAAAGATATTTAAGAGATTCTGGTAGCATTTGATGCATCATTTCATTCTCTTTCTAATGGTTATGAAGCTGTTGCAATACAGTGAATGAGCTTCCAAAAAAGAGTCAAAATCTGCGGCCTAAGCTTTTTGAGATAGCCAAGTTTCACAATTTTTCTAAAATTTTATAACAAACCTCAGAAGGAGCCCAAGTAATGGATGGATGGAGCAAACCCTACAAGAAACAGAACAACTGTTTTCTACTTTCCAGAGCTCGTCATAATTTTTGTACAGAATTTTGATGGAACCACCGAATTTTAGCAGGCTCGTCTCAGATACAAATGCATCAAACACCAATAAATCTTCGGATTTTAAAACTTACAAAGATGGATTATAATTTGGCAACATTTTTACAAACCAAACGAGCATTCACCGCTTCGGTTTAGCCACTTTTGGAAATTTCGGGTACACCTTGGGGTGCCTTGGAAAAGTTGAATTATGATGATTTTATCCCGGAAAATTTGATGAATCAGAAACAAAAAACAACCGCTAGAAAGAGGAGAAAAAGCTGCATCGAATGGCACCCGAGTCGCTTGCCGGTTGTTGTTCTGTGAGGTTTGACTTGACTAAATATGGAATTTGATGGCATTGAGAAAGTGATTGTAGAAACTCTGAGAAGCAAGCTAAGGAAAAGAAAAAATTACTCTGTGTTCTATAGTGTTTGCTCTATCTACCTACCAATTGTACTTTTTCGATTAGGTACAAAAATTTAAAAAAATAGCCGAACTTGACCATGGCAAAAAGCATGAGTCGCAGATTTTGGTATTTTTTCGAGAGCTCATTGAACTTTATGCAGTGAAAATAGAAAGATTAGAAAGAGGATGAAATGCTGCATCGAATGCTTCTAAGATCTCTTGAAAACGTTGATTGCATGAATAGTGGCGTTTATTCGAAAAAAGCGACATTACTTTCGGAACGACCTAATATTTAGGCAATCCCAAAGTACTTACCAAGTGGTATCTTTCTTGGTTTTCTGCCACTATTTAGCTGCTAGATAGTGAAAACACCCTGTATTGTATGTCGCCTTGTGACTTACATGAGCATTACGGTCAGAACCAGAAATAAGTTAAAGACTATTTGCAAGTCAGTTTTTGCAAGATGATTCCTCAGTTAGCCTGCATGCTAGGACCTGCAGAAATTTGTAGCTACTGCATGCGGACTCTCATACTACAACAATGTTATTACTCTACTCTACACTCGTGAGGACATTGCAGAAAGAGTTTGAGGGCATAAATTTGAGCGCAGGCCTGCAGTTATCTATGTCGGGTGCGCTTCAAAGACGAAAAGTCAAATTTTTTTTCTAGTTCTCACTTCGCTAAACATCTATAAAACAGATAAAACCCTACTGCTGCCAAATAGCCAAAAAAACTGCGAAATTACCCATAAAAACACAACCAGTTAAAAAAGTGCGGAATTCTCTATAAAATCAATGCTCGAAAACAAAATACGCATGAAGTTATTTTTGAGCGAAAAAAAGCAAATAAACGTTTCTTATAAGATTATGGCACAGCTGGACTAAAGCGACTGTATTGACTGTTGAGTATGTGAATGCACAAAAACTTTGGAAGCCGAGAATTACTTTAGTGGACGGAAACCTTAGGTGGAATTATAGTTTTGGCCAACCTTTAAACCTGCTTTTTTCGAAATTTTTGATTTTTTTTGGTTAATCGAACAAGAACGGGATCCGTTTTAGTTACTGGTGGTAGGCTGGTAAACCCACAGCTGTACCAAATTTCAGATCAATTCTTTGAGAAGTAGATGAGCTACGGCAGTTTTCAGGGTGGAATTATAGTTTTGGCCAGCACCATACCTTCGATAGTCTAGAGACAGGGCGCCAAAAGTGAAGGTTGTTTGAACATCTGACGTCATCAATAGTGAAGGTTGTTTGAAGAAGATCAGAGAAGAAAAAATGACGTAAAATAGATATAAAAAGCAAGAGAAACTGTTGAAAACCAGATAAAAATGCTGCAATAAGGTTTGAAATCTTTCGTTTGGCGGCTTTTTAAAGTGCAAGTTTTCGCTTCAAGACCAGCAATTCGCAACACGGGGTTTTGATTTTTGATGCGTCCTTTGAATTTTTACCCTCGCGCCGTCCCTCTTGTACCCTGCGACGTTGTCTGGATTCTTGCGCTCATCATTCTGAGCAAGTATCGTCCAAGCTGGAGAAAATTCATTGCGAAACCACTGAAAAAGAATAAGGTAAAGAAAAACGCATTTTTTTGTAATTTTCACAAAAAAAAACCAGCATAAGCAGAGAAATAAGCTCGGCGACGTTGTCTACATTATAAACAGAAACAAGACCTATCGACTACACAAAAAAACTGCGTGAAAAGAGTCAAACTAGGAGAAAAACGAGAGATTTTCGAAAACAAGGTTTTTGCCGGATTTCTCGTTTAAATCATAAAAAGGAGTCTTGCGACATTGTCAGCGTGAAAAGAGAGAT